AATACCCGTGTACGTGTGGACGTAGCCTAAGTATAGCGCTACACAAATACAGGCCATAGGTTCTTTGCCTCAGATCTGTCCTTCTGAAAACAGCAATTTTCTTTTTACAGTAGCCGATGCAGGGAACCTCTTATAAGCAATATTTTTTCCACTGCGAGATTTCTGCTGCGTATTCAGAGAAGGACAAAATTTGCTGTGACTTTTGCCTTATCTCACAACATGTTGTTGTAATGTTGTTCATTTCAATGCCTTCATTCATTTTAAGTTCAGAATACGTATGAGTGAAAAAAATAACTAGGAAGGTGAAAATTGTAAGAAAGAGAAGTCAACCAGCAGATTAGATTTTACCTAACAAAGTGTCTTCAGGTGAGAGAGAGAGAGAAATAAAAGTACACAGCTTTGGTCACATATATTTTGTACTCCACTGTATTGATTTTGTCAAGGTCTGCATTGGCAGACCATGTGGAGTAGAGAATTGAGGACCCAACATAGAACAATTTTAACTGAAAGTAAGCCATTTATTGTGTTTGATAAAAAGTATGAAACAAAGGGCTAGGCAAACCAATACGACACTAAACAAAAACCTAAACTGGGGAAACAAGAAAGTAAACATGAAAAACCATAAACCTGGTGAGAATTCGTAAATACCTGGAAGCATGAAACCTTGATAACATGCCATAAACATAACAGACGACTTGACAATGAATGCATGACAGTTCATACAGACAGGAATACACAAGAGGGTGACGAGGGAAAAGGAAGCACACGGGCAACACAGCTGGGACGAATAAACATAATAACAAGTCAGGAGGAAGCAAACTAAACACACTGAACATAAGACGCGAGAATTTCAAAGTAAAACACAAAGGGAGACAAAGACATCGCTGAGACACACAAAGGGCGAGGGAGACTTAAACACAAGGGACATGACAGACTCACACGCTGAAGGCACAGCACTATAACCAACATAGTGGGAGAGACACCTACGTGGGAGGAACCTAAACAAGGAAACAGAGAACTCAAACAGAACTAACTGAAACCTAAACTATACAAACAACATCATAATACAAAAAGGCATGAAATCAAAATGCTGGGTCAAAAGACCCAGCACATGACAGTAATCCAGTAGAGTCCAGTACAGTACTCATGCGGAAACATCAAAAAAGACAAAATGTTGGACTTCAATACACAGATAAATATTCTATTAACTTTAAATAATGTGACTGCAATATTCACTGATCATAAGCATCTCTGTCAGGAACCGGCTGTGTGCAGGCAGGAGAGGACCCAAAGGCAGGACTAACAGCATGCAGGGATAAATTCAAAACACAGCTTTATTAACAGAATGGCAAAGGGCAATATAAAACTACACTGGGATGAACTAAGGCACAGGGAGGCACAGGGAAGCCACGGGGAAACGCACACAACACTGATGGATGACGCAACACGGAACAGAGGGAGATTCTGACATAATACACAGAAGGTAATGAGAGACGTGGGAACACACGGGCAGCACAGCTGAGGACAATTACACATAACAAGACAGGGAGGACACGAAACTGAAAATACTGACCCAAGACGCGGGCCTTAAACGTAACACAGGAAGGACACAGAGGCAGACCGGAGGGTAGAGAGAGCACAGGGAGAGCATAACGGGCTGGGGAAACATGGAATAAAACACAAGGGGAAACAAGCCACAGGAAGTGAGAACTATATGAACACAGATACACAGAGGGAACACAGGAGCAACGACACGGGGAAATCTAACAACCAAAAGCTAAACATAACAACCTAGGGACTAGAACTAAACTTTAAACTAACAAGGTGGACTAAAACCATAATACAAAATGACAAAACACAAGAAACTGAAACCGCTGGGTCATAAGACCCAGGATCGTGACAATCTCAGTTAATTGCAATGAGCTGTTAAAAACTGCAGGTGAATTGATGCTGCAAGAATGACCATCCAACAATAACAATCATCCAAATCTTTTTAAAAAGGGGTTAGTGCAAAGAGGTTGCCAAGCAGAATGCTTGAAGAACCATTTTCCTAAATATTACATTTTCAGAATCACCAATATATCTCTTGTTAGGATCCTATTAAAGGTTATGTATTTCTTCAGTCTAGAGGATGTAAGTTCAAATGTTCTCTGTCCTGCAGGTCAATAAAATAAATTTGTCTGCTTCATCCAGTCTCACAATTACTGTTTGTTAATGATTAATCTCTTAAAAACAACAAGTTTACAATGAGGGTTATTTTTAAAGGCTGTATTTTATCCTTATAATAAACAAGTACATTTTCAGAAACTGGAAGATACTACATTTCATATGATGTTGCATACATTTGTGCCATACAGTTATTCACTTAATTCTGTTTACAGATGTTGGTGGGCAAAAGAGGCAACAGTTCTTAAAAAAAACATGCAAGTTACCAAAGTCTACTCCTGTCCTTGACCCTAATCCTGGATGGTTTTTCAATAATATACTGGATGTTAAGAGGTTGATCTGAAGGTTATTTTCACAATGAATCAGTCAAACATCTGGTTAAAAATATTTGAAAATAGTGATCCCCATATCCCACTGCCTTAAAACTGACACCAACAGTTCAAAACAACTTAAAATAAACTTTCAGAAAAGGGGATTTCACTTATGTTGCTAATATTTTCAGTTTAACTAAGAATCACCAGTGAATTAACTGATTGTGTATTACAGATGACATATACAGACAAGTGCAGTATTATCATATGTGAAAATCCAAACTAGAACAGTATTAACATTACAAGACATAAAGACACGTGGGAACTGGAATGAGTGAGATCACCCCTGCAAAAA